TCTTACTTCCCCAGTCAAAAGTTTCCACCGTACAATCGCGTAACTGAAGACATCTGCTCTGTGATCATATGGTTTGTGTTCAGTGACCAGAGTTTAGAAAATACAACGTAGAGAAATAAGAAAATGGAAGAAACAACAATTCAGGCATTAACTAATGATCTTCCATAGGTGAATGTCATGTTCAAAGCTAAACGTCATCTCAAATGGTTTCAGCCATTTTCACCCACTAGACAAATACATTGTTTGGCCGAGAAATAGCCAACAATCTCCACAGATATGTCTTTAGTTTCATATACAACAAAAGCATGTAAACCAAAAAACAAAAACAAGATGCCCGAAAGAAGACGTACCTCTGGAGCCATCCACCGGTAAGTCCCTATTTCCGCTGTCATGACCCCTGACTGAGTCTGCACTCTGGCAACCCCAAAATCAGCAACCTTGACAACCTGTTCAAAAATATGCAGACTCTAAACACATGTACCTCTATTCTACTAAAATGAAAATATTTTTGTGGAGCGGAAAAGAGGAAAAAAATATCTGTAGAATTTCAAAGGTTTACAAGCTGAAAGACGAAATAAGCAGTGACCAAAGAATGCTGAAAGACTACATGATCAGTGGTCAAAGATTGAGGCTTACTTCATGTTCGTCCATAAGAAGATTAGCAGTCTTTAGGTCTCTGTGAATAATATTGTTTTGATGCAGATAGTTCATTCCTTTCGAGACGTCAAGTGCCACTTTGAGCAAAGATTGAAGTTTAAAAACCCCTTTTTGTTTGTGAAGAAAATCATAAATGCTTCCTCGAGCCATGAACTCTGTTACAGAAGCGTGAAAATCAGTTACCATGCATACATATTAAAGCCAAAACTACCAAATGAAATGTTACAGAAATTACAAAGCAATAACCTGCAGAAAATTCACTGTCTTGCTGAAACAACTTTCTCACCAGGTATCCAGATACAAAAGAGAAAATTAAAAAAAAAAATTGATCCAAAGAGAACCAGACCCATATTCAGAATCTATTGAGAACTTACCGGTCACAATGCAGAGGTTTGGAGATCGTGTGCACGCACCGATAAATTGGACAACAATTTTATGTCATACTTTCCTACAAAGAGGAAACTATCAGTACCAACCGTCAAGAAATCTCTCACTCCAAATTCTGATCAAGAACTACCATTCAAAATTATGATCAAAAACTCTTTTGTTTTCAATTGTATGTTGAAGGAGGAAAACAACAACAAGCAGAGCAAATGTTGCAGCAGAGGCGGTTAGAGTTCCTACGTCTGTACCGGTAAGAGTAGCGCACGAGCTAGCTCAAGCGGAATATCGGTATCTCGACGTGAGGACACCAGACGAATTCAGTATCCGGCATCCGTCTAGTGCCATCAACGTTCCTTACAAGTACAGAGTCGGATCAGGTTTTTATCCCCTACCTTTAGAATCCTCCATAGAAATAAAAAGTTGATATGAGAAACTTTAAGCTAACTCTAAGCCAAAAAAACGTTGCAAGGATGGTCAAGAACCCGAGTTTTCTAAGGCAGGTCTCGTCCCACTTCAGAAAACACGACGAAATCATTATCGTAAGTTTAGATTTTTTTGGCAGAAAGTGAAAAACACGATGATAAAAGCAACCCAGTTTTTTTTTTAACATTTTTTATAAAACTATCACAGGGTTGCGAGAGCGGGCAAATGTCTTTCATGGCTTCAACTGATCTTTTCACTGCTGTAAGTGTGATTCACATCTACTCATATAATATAGCTTAGCGATTAGTAATCAGTTAAAACAGTTACCTGATTTTGGAGAAGCGGTTTACTGGTGCATGTACAGGGCTTCACTGGGGTCACAGACATTGTTGGAGGGTTCGTCGCGTGGACTGAGAATGACTACCAGTAGAAGAGTGATTTTAACGTGGCCTATCTTTCTGTATATACATAAATGCTGTATAGATGGTCTCAACATAAGTGTTCCTGAATATGAATGAAATCGTTCATGACCAATTAATAAGATTACTATCCTCACTTGAAAGCAGACTTGAGAGAAAGTGTTGTAAAAACCAAAAAATCGAAGCCTTTAAAAGATTGGCTTTTATTTTATTGACTTTGAAGTGATCCTCGTTCTCAAAGGAAACTGATTAAAAAGAAGTTATACATGGGAAAGAAAAATGTGAGGTTCTAAACAAATACTCTACATTTATATTTTAGGGTGATTTGCAACAATAACCAAAAAAAAAATTATATTTGCAATCTAATGAAAATAGTATGATGTGGAGAAATAAAAGCCATTAGATTAGGATGATTTAGTTAGTTAGTGAAATATAATTTTTTTTTAGGTTATTTTAGCCAATTTCCCTATATTTTATCCCTTAAGTACTTCTCAATGTTTTAAAATATAGAATAAGATGATAATTGTTTGGATTACCACTTTCTACTATTCTATTGGTTTGATGAGGAAGTGGTCTAGTGCAAAATGGTGGCAACATTAGTGAGTAAAAATAGTTTAGAAAAAAAACATTAGTGAGTAAAAACCTAAGTTTTTAATGTAATATTAAAGTAGAGTTTTAAAATAAAATACAGAGTATATCTGAGCAAGATGTACTCTAAATATCAAGACGTTCTAGAAGGCTCATATGCAAACAAGACAAACTTGACAGGCAGGACCCACAGGCAGGATCCACAGGAAGACCCACCTCAGACTGTCAGCACCAATCAAAACGAAACAACAAAAAGAGTTAGACTGTACTTACTCATCAAGACCCCAGACAGAGACTTTAGCCAATCAGAATCAAGCACGAAGAAAGGCAAACAAGCAAAAGTCATCAAAGCAATAATTCAAGATTCACCTGCTTCCCTATAAATACCCATTCTCGGGTTCAGAAGAGGGATACGAGCAAAATTTTGCAACATTCTCTCTCTAAACCTCTCTCTACAAAGTTGTAAAAGAATTTCTTTAAGTTTTATAAAATTTGTTATCTTTAAAAATCATTTATTTCAAAACTTTGTATTCACTTTAAATTTAATAAATCACGAATTTTAATCATATACATCTTCCAAGTTCTTATATCCCAAAGTTTTATATTTTAAAAATTTAAATGGTATCAGACCAAAAGATCCAAAAGGTTTTCAAAACAAGATTTGCATGAACCAAATTAAACTCTTTCTTAGAGAATCCCTATTTTACTGAACCATAGAAGCTGAAGGTGTTCCATGCAGCAAGCCCTAACGAAGGCAGTAAGACCGTTGGTAAGCCGCAGCCGTGACGACGTAAAAATAAGTATTCTCTCAGTATGAGTTTAATTTAATCATGGCGTCTTCTTTCCGAAAACTTTTTAGATCAAAGCATGTATCTACTTCAACATCTCATACAACTATTAATTCAAGAGAAATTATGTCCAAAATAACATCGTTTAATCAAGAAATATCAAAAGATCAATTACCCCATATTAACCTAGATAATATATATCAAATTAGAATTTTTGACTTTAAGACAGCATATTCTATAAAAGAACATGAACAAATTTTACCACTGCAAAACGAGTTTGAAGAGATTAAGTTATTATCATCACTCGCCCTAGAAAAATATAAACAAAGGGGTTTAATTATATCCACTTTGGACTTATACAAATTGCTATTAAACCCTTATCCAGAACAGGTATAGATTCACCTATTCTTATGCTATTACAAGACAAAACTCTATTAAAATTTGAGGACTCCTTATTAGGAGCTGTCCAATATATCAAATTTATGCAACGGAGCAATTTATTTTAAATGCGCTTCCAATTATCAAGTAAGTTTACATGATCCAACAATACTCAATACTTTAGTATTAAACGTCCACCTCCCAGAAATTAAATTTCAAAATGAAAGACATGGCTATTTATTGCTATATCGAATTTATTTTAAGCAATCAACATCTGAGTTTAACCCAAGATGCTTATTACAAGATGATAAAGGAGAAACCACAATTTTAGCAGTACATAGTAAATATACTCCAACAGCTACATATACGCCTAAATAATTAAACTATTCCACATCAATGGAAAATTGAAATAACTCAACCTCCTAGAAATTTTGAACAAAAAAAATTCAAGAATACTAGAACAAAAAGATGGAAAAATATTATTACAATTTGGATCATACAGAGAACCATCTCCACCAAGAATTAGTCCGTATCACTCAAGAGCTTCTTTTTCTGAATATCGTACTGGTCAATCCAGTGCTGATTCAGAAACAGAAAGTGTAAACCAAAATATTAAACAAGATAATTCAATTAAATTTAAAGCACCAATAGCATAACCCAATCAAGACATGTATCCAACCTCTCCTACACCATCTGATTTTAAATCTATAAATGTTATATCAAAAGAATATGAAATTGATAAACAATACATTAAAGAAGACTTTTATTCAATAAAAACGAAGAAAAACATAATTGGTATTTTCAAACATTTTGTAAACAGCAAACTATAGAATTTAGAGAAAAATGGTATAATTGTATGAAATTAAAAGAAATAAATATTCAATTTTTCATATGGTTTGAAACATACTCAATAGCACATAATATCAATTATCCATTCAAAACAATTAATACTAGTTCTTGTTTAAACCAAGTTTGGAAACTAGTAGATAGAAATAAAATCAAATCAGTTCATCCTCCTCTAAAAGATTTAAAAATAAATACTCATGATCGACAAGTTATAGTCACACCTTTTAAAACAGGAGCTAGCCAATAAAGATGATATAGATCCAATAATTTTACATGATATTAAATCAGTATATCAGCAAATAATTATAAACGTCAATTATTATATACTATTTCTAAACAAATGGACAATATAGATAACAAACTAAGTATAAATGAAAGTAATAAATTAGACCAGTATAATCAAAATATTTAACAACCCTCTTCATCTATGATATCACCACACCCCTTTTCATCCGTAACATCACCAATTTTTAAACCAATAAACAGAGAAATTAAATTTTCTGAACACGAAATTTTAAGATCAATAGCAACTAGATTAGACAGTCTAGATAAAGGAAAAGGAATTAATATAATAGACGAATACGATAATGAATCTATACAAACATCAATACAATCAGAAAGTGATAATCAAGAAATTAATCGAATAAAAAATAAAATGATGAGGTCTGATAAACCTTATTATCCAAGACACACCGCACCCGATTTATTATTCGAAGAACACCATAAATATCCTAGTTATATGTATACCGTAAACGGTATATATGAATGGAATATTGATGGACGTTCAGAATACGAAATAATGAATTTATTTCAAGAAATGGGAATAGCCTCGATAGCATTCAAAGCAGCAGGCAACACTGATAAACAATCATGTATTATGCTAATAGCCGGATTTAATGGGGCATTAAAATATTGGTGGGATAATGCATTAGATATATATACACAAATTCTATAATAAACCATAAAGAAGTAAAAAAAAAATACAAGGAGATGATGGATTTGTTACTGAAAAAAAAAATGCTGTAGAAGTATTAATCCATAGTTTAACAATGCATTTTATTGGTAACCCAGAAGAAGAATTAGAAAGTAAAAAAATCATATTAACAACCTTTCTGGAAAGAACGGTTTATCTCAGGATTACCGATCTTTTTCGCAGAAAGAGTGATCAATAAATTAAAAGAAATTTCTGAAGGACAATCTATCCCCTGGACAACAATTACGTATGGTCAATTATTTGCATTCATTAAAAAAGGATTATCAATATGTCAAGAACATAAAAGATAAAAAACCCTAGCCGCTCTAAAACACTCTCAAAACTTTCCATAAACGTATCCCTCACGGAACATCAGATCCGGTTGCCGCCGGCCATGGGGTCGCCGTCTCCGGCCACGACCCTCCCTCCCCAAGTCCCCACGTCGCCCCAGATCCATTCCTCACCCTCCAGCTCAAGTCAAAAAACTTCATGGTCCTCTTTTGTTTCAAGAAAATCATTACCAGTTTCAACTCTTGTCTCCGATGTTTCTGTAGTAGATGGTGTAGCCAAGACGGCCATACCGGACGAATTGTTGAAGAATTCCCAGCCTCTGTGGAAGAGTTATATTGTAGGGTTTTTCATCGGGGATGCACCTCACATAGGAAAGTCCACGCCACGGTGAATAGGTTATGGTCTTCGGACAAATCATCACGGATCGATGCTCAGTTTGTCAATCCCAAAACAGTTCTATTTCGAGTAGAGGATTCTCATATGAGGCAGCGTATCCTAAAAAGACACTTTTGGCATATTGGTGAAGTTCCTCTCGTGGTCCAGGAGTGGAGTCCAAAAACGGCTAATCTTAAGCCGGATCTGACGGCGATGCCTGTTTGGGTGGATTTTAAAGATGTGTCGGACTATCTCTTCACGGAGAAGTGCTTGATGTTTCTAGGAGACATTATTGGTGCAGCCCATAAACTACATCCCAATACGGAACGATGTGTCAGACTTGATGTAGCCAGAGTTCTTGTTGTAGTCAACCTGGAAAAAGATTTACCACGCATGATCTCGCTGAGTGTCACAGAGGAGATTCTAATTCCGGTGAGTTATCCTTGGCTACCTTCGCGATGTGAAACATGCCAGGTTTGGGGTCATAAGGCAAGTGAATGTGCGCAGATGAAAATGGGAGCTATGGTAAATCGTGGTGAGGTGAAAGTAGTAGAGACTGGTGGTGCAAGAAGTAAAGTAAATGATGTATTGGTTAACACTTCCTCACCGGAAAGTGTAGCTGCTAATGTGATGACAGAAAATAGGCTTGCTAGAAAGGACAAGGAGGTTGGACAAACAGAGGTGATTTGAGTAAGACGATCACAGACCATACGGAGGTAGTGGGTTGGACAGTTGTGTCTAAACATGGGAAAAACTCTCCTGCAAAGATCGCTAGTAAGGAGGTTTTAGCAAAACAGAGCTCTGAGATGTTGAAGGAGAAAGAAGTATTGTCACCATCTCGGTTTAACATTCTTTCGGAGATTGCGGAGAATGATGAAAAAGAAGAAGGCGAATTGGACGAGGGAACTGAACATCCGGGTAATGAAGAGGATTCCTCTTCCTCAGATGAGGAACCACCAAAAGTATAAATAGCTCAGCGAACGGATAATAGTCAGGCC